AACATACACACACATTCAGAAACTCCAGTTCTGATTTAAACTAAATGAGGAACTGAGTCCAGTTCAGATGTGGAACTGATGTTTTCAGTAACTTGATCTGAGAGGTCAAGGCCACATGTGGGTCAAAAGGTCACACACGCTCCACTTCGACTTACAGCCTAAACTTAGTTATGAATCTGACTGGATAAAAGCTAATGCTAAACTAAAAAAAAAACAAACAAACCTCAGCTCCACTGATGCCGGTCTTCTGTCTTCTGATTGGCCGAAGCGAATAAGAAGCAGAAGAACTTTTTTTTTACCGACCCCAGTGGATCGGTTCCTGTGTCAGTTCCAGGTGGAGTTTGTGAACTGTTGTAGATGTTTCTAGACTTTTCCATAAAGACCCTGTTAGATCAGTGTTCAGATGAAGTACAGTGTGTATTACTACACGTACTACACGCAGCCTCAGTACTGTGTTGTTTCCCACACTGAATACTACAAGTTCAGTTAAAAACTGTACCTTAATCCCTGTGATTTAGACCAAATCAGACGCTAAATATTGTGTTTATTCAGTGAGTGATCGTTAAAGGAGCAGTGCTCCGTTTTTCATCCGAACGTCCAGGGACGTCAGACAACAACAGAAGCACAGGGCAGAAATGGCAGAAAGAAAGAAAGAGGGAGTCACATGGCTGCACACAAATGAGAGGGGGTGGTTACGTCACTGACAGACGCTGGCGTCATTGTGTTGTTTAATACGCAGCAGCAGCAGCAGCAGCAGCTCATCATCAGCTCCTTCTGCCCCTGAAGGCCGCACCGTGCCGCACAAAGAGCCGGAGCTGCTCCTGCTGCTCCTGCTGCTCCTGCTGCGGCTGCAGCTCCTCATCCAACTGTCACACACACACACACACACACACGAACACATCCCCTCATCCACGACACACACCCACTGCGCCCATCCTCCGCGTCCGGCCTGCTCCTCTCTCCTCTCTCCCTCTGTTTCTCCCCCCCTCTCCCCCCTCCTCCCCCTCGTCCTCCTCAGCATCTTTCTCTCACCTCTGAGATGTGAATTCACTCGGACATTAATCCATGGTCCTCGGCCGCTCCTGCCTCACCGTCACGGTTATCACAAGAGGAGGAAGCTGCCCTGCCCGTTATGTCCTCGCAGCAGGCAGGAGGAGGCGAGCGATGCGCGCACACATACAGTAGCAGCGGCCGCGTCCACGATCACGTCCGGTGATCCAGTGTCAGGGGTAAACGAAGCCCAGAGAAAGAGGCGCGACCTCCAACCGTGTGTGGATGTGGTTCACAGGTGAAATAAAAGCCGTGTTTTCCACAGGCTGCTCCTCCTCCTCCTCCGTCTCCCGCACAGGTCTCTGTCTCCCCCAGAGTCTCCGCTCACACAGACGCACGCACGCACGCACGCACGCACGCAGCGGCAGCGCTTTCTCATTTAAAGAGATATGATTGTGCAGCTGCTGCAGCCTCGCTGCCAGTCTGTTCCTTATGTAACCGGTGCAGCCCACACTCCGCTGCTGCTGCTGCGGCTCCGGTTGGACGTGTGTAAATAAAGTCATACATGGGGAAAATTATTTTTATGTTTTGTATTTTATATCACTATAAAATACAGTTGGGACATTTAATCATCAGTCCCAGAATATCACAGACATCTTTTACCAACAGACGCGACCTGTTCTGTCTGCTGTGATGAGCCAATGAATGATCGTCATTAATTAAGTCTCATTTAAACACTACTTTTTTTATTTCCATCATTTCTTACCTACTGGTAACAGTGATGCGCAGCCTCCAGCCCTGTAGGTGGCAGTAATTCCCCTGAAGTCCAATTAACCACCAGGAAAAAGATGAAGAGTTTGGATATGGTTTTCTCCATAATATAGGGTTGTTGTACCGTAGCTAACGTTAGCTACGGTACAACAACCAAACAGTCGTAGCACGGCTGACGGTAATAGCCAAAAAAAATCTCATCCTGCATTTAAATAAAATATAAAATACTTTAGCTGTATATGTCGACGACTCACATGTATTTCTACGCCAACTGAATGCATTTTTTATAGTAAGTCTATATGTTATTGTCGTTTTACAGTCGTTACAATCAGACGTTAGCTGTTAGCTTCAACCATGTTTTCGATTTTCGATCGTCACTTATACGATGACTGATAAACAGGAAGTAGATCCTGGAGAATCATGTGACTCATCGCTCCGTGATCAGGATCAATGAGTGACTGCAGCATCGATTATTAGGACTGTTACGGACGGGTCGCATCTTTTAACACACAAACCCAGTGAGCTGTGTCCACTCTGAGGTCGTGACCTCTGACGTGAGGTCACACTGTTAGACCTTACCGTACACTCCGACTGATCCGACTGATCCGACTGTCGTCAAACACCCACTTCCTGGGCTTTTCCTGTTATGGGCATCGCATCACTGAGGAAGAAACACTGTGCTCCTCCTCCCTCTGCTCCTCCTCTTCATCTTGTCAGCCCCCCCCCTCTCTCTCTCTCTCTCTCCCCCTCCCTCCCCCTCTCTGGATCCAAACAGAGCCACAGTGAAAGAGAGGTTTCTATTTTTAGCGTCTCACTCGGTTGCAGCCTCCCACCTCAGGACAAAGAGATACACCCACAAAAATACACAAATCTCCCATGGATGACACACACACACACACACACACACACACAACACGTTGGAAACAACAAACACTCACATAAAAAGAGAGACAAATGGGGAGAGAGAGAGAGAGAGAGAGAGAGGGAGAGAACAGTGAGGCCACGTGAACAAATAGAGACAGAAAATGATCCAGTAAATTCTAAGGTGGGAGGGATCACACACACACACACACACACACCTGAGACTGTGATTATTTTCCTCTTTGTCAGTGTGGCCAGTGTTGGTACTGATGTCTTTTATGTTTTTTTTTTCCACTAAAATTCCATTTCTCTTCTTTATTTTGACACGTTTATAAAATTTAAAAAAAAAACCATCTTCCAGGAAACAGGAGTGGGCCAGAAATAACTGACCTGGGCTGCAGCCCACACTGACCTGCCCCGGTGTTCTGTGTCTATATGATATGATACTGAAAACATTCAGGGATTTTTTTTTTAAATTTTTATTTATTGTTGTTTGAAATTTCTTCCAGCGTTTGTTGAGCTGCATCATCAGATCAGTCAAAGTTGTTGATATCTTAGAGCTAACTTTTAGCTAAATCTAGGCTAACATTTAACAGACATTCATTAACATTTTTTTATCATTTCTCTTTGATTATATATATATATATAAAGAATAAAAATAAATAAATAAATAAGAAAAGTGATTATTCAGATTAAAACTAGAACTCATTATAACATTATAAACCATGACAGAAAAACACACGTGCGGCCAAATAACAACACAAACACACACACACACACACACACACACACTGCAGTGGGGATGAGTCAGCCTCTGGGTTGTCATGGAGACACTGCCTCTTTGCAATCAGTCTCTTAGTAACTGTGCTGTTGCCGAGGCAGGAACCTGTGTGTGTGTGTGTGTGTGTGTGTGTGTGTGTGTGTGTGTGTTTCACATGTCACATGAACAAGCCTTTTTTCCCTGAGATGATTTTTTTTTTCAAGCAAATGTGTTAATTCAGTCACTTATTTATATATTAATTTATTTCTCTGTAAATGTCAGAGCAGGGGTTGTCAAAATGAGGTGCGTGTCCCTGAGGAGGCCCACTGTGGGGCTGCAGGAGGCGTGTAATGTTTTTGATTTGATCATTGAAATGTATTTAAATACATAGTCATACCCATCAATTTTATTTGCAAAAACTCGCAAATTAACGAAGCAGCGCCACCTGTGGTTTAGCTCCACTGATGCGACGGCGTAGTTGCCCTTCAGTTTGACTCCACATCAAACAGATGCTGACGACAAAACAAAACGTCTTGTTTCCATTTCATTTTCATCATTAAAATCTCTGTGTTTTTTGGTGTTTCATTTTCATTTCCTGCCTGACGACCTGTGTTGTGTTACATTCAGGGATAAATTCCTTCAACAATGACTATTTACCCTGTGATCCACTTTAACTTTGCCTCAGTTCCTTTAACCACTGCTCACAGACTGTGGTTGACGCGGTGTTTCTGTGGAGGACACCTCAGCTGTACATCACAGCAGAAAAATCCTCAGGCAGGTTTATGAAAATGGCTCTGCTCTGCTGCCTCCTCTTTGTTTCCTTCCTTCTTCCCTTCCTTCCTCCTTTCCTTCTTTCCTTCCTTCCTTCCTTACTTCCTTCTTTCCTTCTTTCCTTCTTTCCTTCCTTCCTTCCTTGTTTCCTTCATGCATTCCTTCCTTCCTTTCTTGTTTCCTTCCTTCTTTCCTTCATGCATTCATGAATTCTTTCCTTCCTTCCTTCCTTCTTTCCTTCATGCATCCATGCATTCATGCATTCATGAATTCTTTTTTTCCTTCCTTCCTTCTTTCCTTCTTTCCTTCTGTCCTTCTTTCCTTCCTTCCTTCTTTTCTTCCTTCTTTCCTTCATGCATTCATGAATTCTTTCCTTCCTT